GAACAATACCTACCTCATAGGGCATTTGGGAGGATTACATGTGATAACAGATATTGAAGTGCTTAGCATGTAATGGGTAGCCAATAAATGTTGGTATCTAGCTCCTTTCTTTCTTTGGTTCCCCCTGTTCCAGGCCTCCTCTTGACTTTAATTCCTGCCTTTTGATTGTTTCCCAAATTTGTTCATTTCTTTTGCATTTTCATGATTGAGTAACTTCATTATCTTACCCAAAACATTGTCTCTCTTACCTGAAGAAAAGCTGAGGAACCAGGTAAATTTTGTGTTAGATATTCACATAAGAATTTTATTGAAGATGATTAGCATATCCTTCTGTATATATTTTATATACTGTTTTCAAAGATGTTTTTACTGTTACCACTATGAACACATGGTTGTAGTGCTATATGTATAATTTTAACCTTATCTCTTAAACAAATCTATTTTCCTTTAAAATAGTTTAATACTGAATAGAGTTTTAGCATGGTGTGTATATGTTATATGATTGCTCTTTGGAGGAGAGATGAAAATACATGTATAGTGTATATAGTTTAATTTTGCTGTTCAGTGTACTGAATGATTATTCATTCCTCTTTAGTTAAAGTAGTTTAAAAACTATTTTGTTCTAGGTGCTGGGAATATGGCAGTGAACCAAACTGAATCTTTGCCTTTGAAAAGCTTGCTTTCTAAAGTGAAAATTTTTTTCATACATAAAATTTTTTATAATGCATTTTCTTTGCTCATACATACGTTTATACCATGCATCAAAAAGTTCTTATTATAAAATAGAATATTTATATTTTGGGAGACTGTTTGAAGCTACAGCTCAAATATTTGTGTCCCAAGATTTATTAATATCGAATGTCAACATTTTTATTTCAAGTATTGCTTTCATTACATTTGCCACATTCCACAAAGTAATGTTTTATTTGTTACTACATAATTCTTTATATAAAATATACTTGTTTTGGAGGTGAAACATTGGCTTGCAAGTTGAAAGTATTTTTCATTTATTTGGTAAATATTTTTTGAGGACCTCCTATACTCCTAGGTTCTGTCTTAAACTAATCTAGTGCAGGAATTTAACCTCAGGTCCAGAGCCCAATCGTATTTCCTTTTCTTCATGCCATATATTAAAAGGTGGGGACCGGAACTGTGGAGATGAAGAGATTCATCAAGAGAATGAGGATTTATTTGGATTTAGTTACTAAGAAGAGGTCATTACTGACCTTCAAGTGGTTGGAGGAAGAAAAGCTTATTATAGGAGGCTAAGGAAACACAGGGAGAAGGCAATGGCACCCCACTCCAGTACTCTTGCCTGGAGAATCCCATGGATGAAGGAGCCTGGTAGGCTGCAGTCCATGGGGTCGCTAAGAGTCGGACACGACTGAGCGACTTCACTTTCACTTTTCACTTTCATGCATTAGAGAAGGAAATGGCAACCCACTCCAGTGTTCTTGCCTGGAGAATCCCAGGGACAGGGGAGCCCGGTGGGCTGCCGTCTGTGGGGTCACACAGAGTCAGACACAACTGAAGCAAGGAAACACAGACTAATAAGGAAATTGAAATATCAAGAGTAAGTGATTCTTTTTTGTATCATGGTAGTGAGTAGAAGGAAGATTTATGCATGGGCTAGAAAGTACCGGAAACTAGGGAAGGAAACTTCAAAATAAGGGATATATATATAAGGATTGTAAGAGAGAGCAAGAATTTGGGGATCAAGTGATCAAATACTGTGAAGAGAGAAGATAATTGAAACTTTAAAATGCCAGAGAAACCAAAGAAGATAGTTATGGACTTAAGTGAAAAGGGATTTGGCTTAGAAGAGTAAAGAGAAAACTTCATTTGATATAAGAGGAGAAGATGAGAATGAATGAAAATAAGAGTATTTTAAGATGGAGAGGGTGAAAGTGGAAGAAAAGCTATGACCAACCTAGACATCACATTAAAAAACAGAGACATTACTTTGCTGACAACGGTCCGTCTAGTCAAAGATGTGGTTTTTCCAGTAGTCGCGTGTGGATGTGAGAGCTGGATCATAAAGAAAGCTGAGCACTGAAGAATTGATGCTTTTGAACTGTGGTGTTGGAGAAGACTCTTGAGAGTCCCTTGGACTGCAAGGAGATCCAACCAGTGCATCTTAAAGAAAATCAGTCCTGAATATTGATTGGAAGGACTGATGCTGAAGCTGAAGCTCCAATACTTTGGCCTCCTGATGCAAAGAACTGACTCATTTGAAAAGTCCCTGATCCTGGGAAAGATTGAAGGTGGGAGGAGAAGGGGATGAAAGAGGATGAGATGGTTGGATAGCATCACTAACTCGATGGCCATGAGTTTGAGCAAGCTCTGGGAGTTGGTGATGGACAGGGAAGCCTGGTGTGCTGCAGTCCATGGGGTTGCAAAGAGTCAGACACGACTGAGTGACTGAACTGAACTGAAAATGGAGAAATGAGATGGTTATGATCACTCCCACAATCTTCTCTTAAAGTAGAAGGTAGGGTCATTTGCTGAAAGGAATAAGGTGAGAGGGAGAGAGGAACTTAAAAGGGGGAGAATGTTCTGCCATGGAAACATACTTGGAAATCAGTGAGTTCAAGCAGTGACACCTTAGTTGAGATTAGCATAGATGTTACAGTGATCAGCAATATCCTAATGTTTTGTAGCAGGAGTTGGCAGACTATAATCTGAGCGTCACATGTAGCCTGTGAGTTGTGAATACTTTTTATATTCATAAAGGATTAAAAAAAACCCAAAGAGACAAAGAAGATTGTGTGACAGAGACCACATGTGACATTTAAAGTCTAAAATATTTACTGTCTGGTCCCTTACAGAAAGATTGCTGACCTTTGTTCTATAGCTCAGGACCAGAGAAAACAAATGAGAGTGTGACTTAGAGGTTTGAGCTGACATGTTGGATATGATCAAAGATCAGAGGGTGATAACATAAGGAATACTAGTTATGGGGATTTGGTGGAGGTGGACAGTTGGGTGCAGGTTAATAGGGAGTAAAGTAAAGCCAGAAGAAAGCTAATAGATTGGATGAAAATGAAGAGGGTTTGTGACTAAGTCTTAGAATGAAAAGCATGATCAATTGGTCTGAAGGAACAGTGACAGATAAGGAAGCTGGATGTAGACAAGGGGAGCACAGTTGATTATCTTAGAGGTAGAAGAGCTTCACAGATTGTCTAATGATGAGGTCAGGATGATGAAACATCAGAAGTATGATCTTTCAATTCCTGAAGATGATATCACAGAGACTGTAAGAACTAATGTGAATTACGTTGCTCAGAGTTATTTGAAAAAAGTGGAAGTGAGCATGGAGTATGAATTTGATGATGGTAAAGTGTTAAAAAGAGGCTGGTGTAAGTAGGTGAATTACTATAAATAAGGGGAAGAGAAAAGAGAAGGCGGAAGTTAAGTTGTCCTCCATTTGCCCTGGCAGCTGAGCTGTTCCACCCTCTTGACTTGGTGACTGATAGAGGTAGATAAGAAGGCTGCAGGGAAGATACGGTATTCTCCATAGAAGGTCAGATTTACACCTACTCTTTGAGGATGGGAGAAGCAAAGTGGTAAATTGGTTTCAGGTTGTAAAATGTTGTTGTTGTTTGATTGCTAAGTTGTCTTAGACTCTTTTGTGACCCCATGAACTGTAGCCTGCCAGGCTCCCCTGTCCATGGGATTTCCCAGGCAAAGATACTTGAGTGGGTTGCCATTTCTTCTCTAGGGGATCTTCCTGACCCAGGGATCAAACCCATGTCTCCTGCATTGAAGGTAGATTCTTTACCACTGAGCCACAAGGGAAGCCTTAAGTTGTAAAACAAAGCTCTCAAAATAAAATTGCAGTGCTTAATCACTCAGTCTTGTTTGACTCTTTGCAACCCATGGACTGTAGCCCATCAAGCTCCTCTGTCCATGGAGATTCTCCAGGCAAGAATACTGGAGTGGGTTGCCATGTCCTCTTCCAGGGGATCTTCCCAACCCGGGGATCGAACCCAGGTTTCCCAAATTGCAGACAGATTCTTTACCATCTGAGTCACCAGGGAAGCCCAAGAACACTGGAGTGGGTAGCCTGTCCCTTCTCCAGGGGATCTTCCCAATCCAGGAATCGAACTGGGGTCTCCTGCATTGCAGGCAGATTCTTTACCAGCTAAGCTACCAGGGACCAAATAAAAGTAGTTGATTTTTTTTTCACAGATGTATACATGATCAGGGGGCTTCCCTGGTAGCTCAGCTCTTCCTGTAAAGACTTTTTGACATCAGTACTATTTACTATGTAAAATTTGTTTTTTTTGTACTAATGAAGTTAAGGGATTAATACTAAAAATATCTCTTTTTACCTAACTGTGAATATATGTAAGAGTAACCTGGCAAGTAATCTTCATTTGAAATATTAAAACTGTCTTGATTGGGCTGCAAGTAACAAATTCAAATCATTTGGATATGATGGCCCTTTTGTGACCATGTTAATGTAGAGTCTATATTGTAGCTTATAAAACTTTACTATTAAATATACATATAGGGATATAATTGTATTTTAGCCATTAAAAATCAAGTAGGGGGATTCCTTTGACCATTAGAAGATTAAACAGGAGCCATTGTAGCTGCTTTATGTTTTTCTGTATTGATGGGCAGAATTATTCCTATATATGGCATCATTGGATAGTATTTTCTGAAGGAAAAACTTTTATCTGCCAAGGACTAGAAATATGAGAAACAGACAAAAGGTAAATTGATAGAGTTTTTCAGTGTGCCAGGTAAGTTTAAGTTACTGGTTCTTATAAGAGCATCTTTATTTCTTCTAGAGAATCAGACTATTTCCTGATAATCTAAAATCTTAAATATCTGTAGCTTGATTTTAAATGGTACCTTTATTTCAGGTGGTTTTCAATGAGTAACCTTTGGAATATTTTTAAAGATTGAGTTAAATGTCTTTTGAATCAAGAAGAAAATAATTATGTCATTTACTTTAATCATATTTTTGTGTTGTGTGTTTTTTCCCTCAGTTTTTGTTACAAGGAATACTGCAAAAACACAGCCGCCTCCTTCCAAGGCAGCTCAGCGCTCAATGCAGTCTCCACAGAATAGTGCTATAATATTAACACATCAGACTAAGAAATCAGGTCGGCCTAAACCACCTGGATGTCCTTCAGTCCCCAAGAAGGGAAGTTCTGTTAAAAATACCACAAAAAAGAAAAAAGGCCCACACTCAGGAAGAAAGGTTAGTTGTATCTCCTACTAATTTCTATTATGGATCTCTGTAGTGCCTTATTATTAAACATACAGTTTAGGATTTACTAAGAGTGTTATATGGGCTTCCCAGATGGCTCAGTGGTAAAGAATCCACCTGCCAATAAAGGAGATGTGGGTTTGATCCCTGGGTTGGGAAGATCCCCTTGATAAGGAAATGGCAACCCATTCAAGTATTCTTGCCTGGGAAATCCCATGGTCAGAGGAGCCTGGTGGGCTCAAAAGATTTGGACACAACTTAGCAACTGAACAACAATAAGAGTATTATGACAACCTTGGGGAATGTACCAAGAGTGTATAAGGCGGGGGAAGGGGGAGAGAAAGGCTTTGGGATTTTGGGACTAGAAGATATAAACTGTTATATATAGGATCCAAATACATCTTGTCTGTAAGAAATATACTCTTAAGTATAAAGGTATAGAATCTTGGATAAACTTAAAATTGAATAGTGTTTGACCTCTTCAAAGCCACACTGAAAATACTGTATTTATCTTTGGGGCAGTTTATTTAAAACTCAGTATACTTTAAAAGGGCTTCCCTGGTGGCTCAGCAGTGAAGAATTTGCCTGCAGTGCAGGAGATGCAGTTCGATCCCTCAGTTGAGAAGATCCTTGGAGAAGGAAATGGGAACCCACTCCAGTATTCTTGCCTGGGAATTCCCATAGACAGAGGAACCTGGCAGGCTACAGTCCATGGGGTTGAAAAAGAGTCAGACACGACTTAGTGAATAAACAACAACACTTTAAAAATAACATAATTTACTGCAATACTGTGGACCCAGATAACAGTCATTAATTTAAACAAAGAAAAATCCAACAACACTGAGTGTTCTGCTTTTTCTCCTTTGTCCCTGCCTTTTAAATATCTCTATTATTTCCTTTTCTAGGCCAAAGGCCCTCTTTTCTGATACTGGAGAGTCTTGTTTGAAGTTAGGTCCTAGAAAACACCAAGAGGTTATATACTATAAACCGCTAGTGATTTTGAACAATACCCAGAAGACATTTGTTCTTACATACAGTGGGCATAATTCTGTATGGACTTTAGCAAGCCACTTTTAATTTTGTCAAAATTATCATGTGTAATATGGAGAAATGCAGGCTAGATACAGTAAAAACCCAGATGAGTGACTGCTTTCTGAAGACAAACTGTCCTCTGCCTCGTTGAGGTTCCCTAAGCTCACTTGATGAATTGCTGGATTAGATTTCCAGAGTGTATAAAACTTACATGAATGCATGCTCAGCTGTGTCTTGACTCTTTGAGACCCTATGAACTGTAGCCTGCCAGGCTCCTCTGTCCATGGCATTCTCCAGGCAAGAATACTGGAATGGATTGTCATTTCCTCCTCCGGGGGATCTTCCCGACCCAGGAACCCTGCATCTCTTGCATTAGCAGGCAGATTCTTTACCACTGAGCCACCTGGGAAGCTAAAAACCAAAAAAAAAAAAAATAAATAAAACCCACAAGTTTTACATAGTAATTATTTTGGCTAAGGTATGACTAGGTGGAGCAGGGATAGCTTTGGGAATCCCAGCCTCTTGGTCTCTTCCTCTCCTACTTGACTAGCTTATGGTCCCCTCTTATCACAGTTTGAAAAGTACTACAATTTGTAACAGAGAAATTTCCATCCCAAAGGACTTCTGACCACTGATCATTTGTGGACCAGTGATGCCAATGATTTTCTGACCTCCTTATCTAGGAATTTTATCTTTTTTAACAGGAAAAATGTATTCCTGTCATTTGCTCCACATCTTCAACTTCTCTAAACGCACTGGCCAGAGAACGTGGTAACGTTTCATATGATAAGGATGCTGTCCCTGGGTCATCTAAAATAGTGATGTCTACAGGTAAATTAGTATTTTTAAGAGTATAAAATTAGTACTTTTGTTGTATTATATTGAGTGTCTTTGAAGTCCTGAAAATAAGAGGAAGAAAAGATGATGATAAGCATTTACTTGAGCATTTTTCATATTAAAATATTTTGAAATTCTAGTTGTTTACTTTGATGTTAAGGAAAAACAGTCTGTTTAAATACATGAGTCATTTGAAAATTCAGCATCCTTAAGATATTTTATCCCCCTTAGTAAAATTTACAACATTTACATTATTGTCAATTCTATTCTTGTTTTCCCATTATCTCATTTCACAATTTGTCTTTTTGTCTTGTATATATTTTTAAAGATACCTGAAACCTTTATTTTTTTTAATATTGAAGCTTCTTTAATAATAGCAAAAGACATAACATTTCTACAGAAAATTTAACTAGAAATGTAGACAACGTATACAAAGAAAACTGTAAGACTCCCTGATAAAGGCACAATGTAAACTTTTCTAACTGAGTTTTTAAATTTTATTTTTTCACTTATTTATATTAGTTGGAGGCTAATTACTTTATAATACTGTAGTGGGTTTTGCCATACATTGATATGAATAAGCCATGGATTTACATGTGTTCCCCATCCTGAACCCCCCTCCCACTTCCCTCCCCACCCCATCTCACTAGGTCATCCTAATGCACCAGCCCTGAGCACTTGTCTCATGCATCAAACCTGGACTGGCGATCTGTTTCACAATGATAATATACATGTTTCAGTGCTATTCTCTCAGATCATCCCACCCTTGCCTTCTCCCACAGAGTCCAAAAGTCTGTTCTGTACATCTGTGTCTCTTTTTCTGTCTTGCATATAGGGTTATCGTTACCATCTTTCTAAATTCCATATATATGCATTAGTATACTGTATTGGTGTTTTTCTTTCTGGCTTACTTCACTCTGTATAATGGGCTCCAGTTTCATCCACCTCATTAGAACTGATTCAGTTGAATTCTTTTTAATGGCTGAGTAATATTCCATTGTGTATATGTTCCACAGCTTTCTTATCCATTCATCTGCTGATGGGCATCTAGGTTGCTTCCATGTCCTGGCTATTATAAAAAGTGCTGCGATGAACATTGGGGTACACGTGTCTCTTTCAGTTCTGGTTTCCTCAGTGTGTATGCCCAGCAGTGAGATTGCTGGGTTATATGGCAGTTCTATTTCCAGGTTTTTAAGGAATCTCCACACTATTCTCCATAGTGGCTATACTAGTTTGCATTCCCACCAACAGTGTAAGAGGGTTCCCTTTTCTCCACACCCTCTCCAGCATTTATTGCTTGTAGACTTTTGGAGAGCAGCCATCCTGACTGGCGTGTAATGGTACCTCATTGTGGTTTTGATTTGCATTCTCTGATAATGAGTGATGTTGAGCATCTTTTCATGTGTTTGTTAGCCATCTGTATGTCTTCTTTGGAGAAATGTCTGTTTAGTTCTTTGGCCCATTTTTTGATTGGGTCATTTATTTTTCTGGAATTGAGCTGCAGGAGTTGCTTGTATGTTTTTGAGATTAATTCTTTGTCTGTTGGCTCGTTTGCTATTATTTTCTCCTATTCTGAGGCTGTTTTTTCACCTTGCTTATAGCTTCCTTCGTTGTGCAAAAGATTTTAAGTTTAATTAGGACCGATTTGTTTATTTTTGCTTTTATTTCCAGTATTCTGGGAGGTGGGTCAGAGAGAATCTTGCTCTGATTTGTCGGAGAGTGTTTTGCCTATGTTCTCCTCTAGGAGTTTTATAGTTTCTTGTCTTACATTTAGATCTTTAATCCATTTTGAGTTTATTTTTGTGTATGTTGTTAGAAAGTGTTCAAAATTCATTCTTTTACAAGTGGTTTACCAGTTTTCCCAGCACCACTTGTTAAAGAGGTTGTCTTTTCTCCATTGTATATTCTTGCCTCCTTTGTCAAAGATAAGGTGTCCATAGGTACGTGGATTTATTTATTTTGTTCCATTGGTCTATATTTCTGTTTTTGTGCCAGTACCATACTGTCTTGATGACTGTGGCTTTGTAGTAGAGCCTGAAGTCAGGCAGATTGATTCCTCCAGTTCCATTCTTCTTTCTCAAGATTGCTTTGGCTATTCGAGGTTTTTTGTATTTCTATACAAATTGTGAAATTATTTGTTCTAGTTCTGTGAAAAATATCGTTGGCAGCTTGATGGGGATTGCATTGAATCTATAGATTGCTTTGGGTAGTATAGCCATTTTCACAATATTGAGTCTTCCAATCCGTGAACACGGTATATTTCTCTATCTATTTGTGTCCTCTTTGATTTCTTTCATCAGTGTTTTATAGTTTTCTATATATAGGTCTTTTGTTTCTTTAGTTAGATTTATTCCTAAGTATTTTATCCTTTTTGTTGCAATGTTGAGTGGAATTGTTTCCTTAATTTCTCTGTTTTCTCATTGTTAGCGTATAGGAATGCAAGGGATTTCTGTGTGTTAATTTTATATCCTGCAACTTTACTATATTCATTGATTAGCTGTAGTAATTTTCTGGTAGAGTCTTTTCTATGTAGAGGATCATGTCATTTGCAAACAGTGAGAGTTTTACTTCTTCTTTTCCTATCTGGATTCCTTTTATTTCTTTTTCTGCTCTGATTGCTGTGGCCAAAACTTCCAAAACTATGTTGAATACTAGTGGTGAGAGTGGGCACCCTTGCCTTGTTTCTGACTTTAGGGGAAATGCTTTTCACCATTGAGGGTAATGCTTGCTGTGGGTTTGTCATATATAGCTTTTATTAGGTTGAGGTATGTTCCTTCTCTGCCTGCTTTCTGGAGAGATTTTATCATAAATGGATGCTAAATTTTGTCAAAGGCTTTTTCTGCATCTATTTAGATAGTCATATGGTTTTTATCTTTCAATTTGTTAATGTGGTATATTACATTGATTTGATTTGCAGATATTAAAGACTCCTTGCCTTCCTGGGATAAAGCCCACTTAGTCATGATGTATGATCTTTTTAATATGTTGTTGGATTCTGTTTGCTAGAATTTTGTTAAGGATTTTTGCATCTGTGTTCATCAGTGATATTGGCCTGTAGTTTTCTTTTTTTGTGGCATCTTTGTCTGGTTTTGGTATTAGGGTGATGGTGGCCTCATAGAGTGAGTTTGGAAGTTTACCTTCTTCTGCAATTTTCTGGAAGAGTTTGAGTAAGATAGGTGTTAGCTCATCTCTAAATCTTTGGTAGAATTCAACTGTGAAGCCATCTGGTCCTGGGCTTTTGTTTGCTGGAAGATTTCTGATTACAGTTTCGATTTCCGTTCTTGTGATGGGTCTGTTAAGATCTTCTATTTCTTCCTGGTTCAGTTTTCGAAACTTATACTTTTCTAAGAGTTCGTCCATTTCTTCCAAGTTGTCCATTTTATTGGCATATAGCTGCTGGTAGTAGTCTCTTATGATCCTTTGTATTTCTATGTTGTCTGTTGTGATCTCTCCATTTTCATTTCTAATTTTTTTATTTGATTCTTCTCCCTTTGTTTCTTGATGAGTCTGGCTGATGGTTTGTCAGTTTTATTTATCTTTTAAAAAAACCAGCTTTTAGCTTTGTTGATTTTTGCTATGGTCTCTTTTGTTTCTTTTGCATTTATTTCTGCCCTAATTTTTAAGATTTCTTTCCTTCTACTAACCCTGGGGTTCTTCATTTCTTCCTTCTCTAGTTGCTTTAGGTGTAGTGTTAGGTTATTTGACTTTCTTCTTGTTTCTTGTGGTAAGCCTGTATTGCTATGAACCTTCCCCTTAGCACTGCTTTTACAGAGTCCCATAGGTTTTGGGTTGTGTTTTCATTTTCATTCATTTCTATGCGTATTTTGATTTCTTCTGTGATTTGTTGGTTATTCAGAAGCATGTTATTTAGCCTCCATATGTTGGAATTTTTAATAGTTTTTTTCCTGTAATTGAGACCTAATCTTATAGCATTGTGGTCAGAAAAGATGACTGGAATGATTTCCATTTTTTTGAATTTACCAAGGCTAGACTTATGGCCCAGGCTGTGCTCTGTTCTGGAGAAGGTTCCGTGTGCACTTGAGAAAAAGGTGAAATTGATTGTTTTGGGGTGAAATGCCCTTTAGATATCAATTAGGTCTAGCTGGTCCATTGTGTCGTTTAAAGTTTGTGTTTCCTTTTTAATTTTTTGTTTAGTTGATCTATCCATAGGTGTGAGTGGGGTATTAAAGTCTCCCACTATTATTGTTCAAACCTGTTTAAAAATGCCTTTTAAAATTTTCACAGATCCTTGCCTGTCAATGGACATGATGACTTTAAATTGCTGTTTGCTGCATAAATAGTGTGAAATGACAGCCACCTAAACTAATTAATCCCTTTGTTTTGTCATCTTCTGCAGATTTCCTCATTCCTGTCCTTTTTTTTATAGCAAGTTTTATTGCTTCCTCTCCTAGATTATTAATTATCTCTCTCTTACATTCTTCTCTTCCCTGGACTTTTTTCCCCTCGATTTTTCTTTTCTTACTAAAAAGAAATTATAGTTTAATTTCTTGAAATAGGTATCACTTTAAAAATAATTATTGTTACATTTCCCATTTTGTCAATTCATTATTTCTGATTTTTAGTCCATTAGCTGGTGAGACTGACTAAATGAGTATAAATACTGAAATCCTTGTTTAGCTCATTTGTGCTCAGTAGAACTTTGTCCAGGCCATCAGTACTCAGGTTGTTTTTAGTAAGTGATATTTCTATGACGGGGTTGATCCTTCCTCTGGCTGTTGCCATAAAGTTGAGAATTATCATATATTTCAACATGGTGAAAGTGAGATTAATGGGTTTTTATTGTACTAAGTACAGACTTTGTACAGATGAAAATTTTGCAATAAAGCAGTGGAGAAAAATAACATGCCTTTTGATTTAGGGGGACAATATGTTTTATTTTTGGTAATAATCATGTTACATTGTATGTTGATTAGAATTTGATTCTCAGTGAAGAAAAATTATGGAAACTTGACTGATTGTGATTATAGGGTATTTACTTCTAGATTCTAAATGCTTTTATTATACTAAGGAAAGCATTTATTCTTAAAATTTTCTTTTGTGAACCTTAGCATGTATAGAAAGAACATTTTTATTTTCTTAAAATTAGTGAAAAAATTTCTCCAGGTCATTAGAACTTACTGTGACACATATCTTAAATTATGTGGTTACTTTAGAAAATACTGTGTAATAGATAAATGCAGTATTGTTGATTTAAAATAATTTCAGTCTGAAAGGAATGTGGTAACATGACCAATTTTGAAGGAAAATTCTTGCACTGTGACTGCAGTAAAAGAGTGAAAATATTCTTGTCTTTAAGTCATTTTTATATAATACGGGAATGTGCAAAGTTGTTTTGTGATGCTACTAAAACTTCTATTGTTTCTATAATTAGTTTGGGAAGAAATCCAGAAATTTGAAGAAGCTTTTGGATTATTTCTTTCTAGGTTTAATATATTTACACAATGTAAAACCATCTTTACATATTTTTAGGTAACAGAAATGATCATTGATATTAACTATGTTTAGGTTCTCTTTGAGTGAAGTGTGGCTAACGGGATATATAGTGATTATGTAGTGTTTATGTTCCTTCTAACCAATCTCATTGTTTGTTATATCTATATACACATTTTTCATCAAGTCTGTGTGTATATAAACAAACATGGAAACTGTGGCCCTCACCTGGATCAGAAGAAAATCCAGCAGCTGCCAGACCACTTTGGCCCAGGCCCTGTCAATGTGGTGCTCCGGCGGACGGTGCAGGCCTGTGTGGATTGTGCCATTCAAAGTAAGACTGTTTTTGGATTCCTTAAGCCAGATCATCGTGGAGGAGAAGTGATAACCGGTATGCCCATGTAATCCTTTATCAGCTTTTGTTCTCTAATTGGATTTTAGGTTTCAAGAAGGCAAAGATTTTATAAAATACATACATTATTTTCTAAATTTTTATTCTATTAATGATAATATTTGAATATTTATTTTGTTAATGTATAGAATATTTATAATAATTATATGCTTATAGACTTTTAACCCTGTTTTGAAAAGTTTAACTTTCAAAATAGACTAATAATGTCAGAGTAATACTGTAAATTGAGGTAAGATTTTTCCTTTTACCTTCTTTATTAAGCTCACTATAGATAAAGTGAGCTTTATATTAATATATTTTAATTTTTTTAGAAAACAGACTGATCTATAAGAATCTCAAATAAAAATGTGATTCAAGAAGTGATTAAAGGATAAGATACATATGGCTTTCATGATTGTGTAATCAAATACTGCATTTGTACCCATGGAATGTTTGGAAGAATAGAAAGTATTGTAGATCAGTGGGTTTGTATTGTTGTTTACTTTATGAATATTTTTAACTGAGAATGCTTTTCTTAGTTCAGACTATTGTGTTTGAATGGGAGGAACTTAACTTATATGATTTAAGATTATTCCTTTATCAATTACAAAAATCACACATTAGACTTATATTTCCTAAATTGATGGCTTTTGTTTTTGTTGATGTTATGGTTCTCATCTTTCTATGATGTGACTCTGACATCTTTTTTCCCCTTGTAATAGCTGCTTTTGATGGGGAAGTTCATTCCATCCAGCTGCCTCCAGTTAACAGTGCATCATTTGTTCTTCGCTTTCTTGAGAACTTGTGCCACAGCCTGCAGTGTGATAACCTTTTGAGTAGCCAGCCTTTTAGCTCTTATAGAGGTAATACTCATAGTCCTGAAGAAAATGATCAAAATAAACCAGGTAAGAGAAAATGTAAAATTTTATACTGTGCTTCTATCTTACCTTAGATTCTTCACTAACTTGAGAGTCTTGTATAATTCAATTTTTCCTTTTGTCCTCCTTAAGGTAAACCTTTTAGCCACAGTGAACTAACTAGGCATGTATAATATATAGTTTTTTGTTCATTCAAAATGGAAAATTAATTTCTTATTGTATTCATAATGAATTTGAGAATCAAAACCTCAAAGCTATTGGGTTGGCCAGAAACTTTGAGTTTTTCTGTAACATCTTATGGAAAAACTGGAATGAACTTTTTGGCCAGCTCAATATCTTTGTGGTTTGATTTGCATGTCCCTAGTGGCTAATGTTGAACGTCTTTATGCTTATCGGCTATTTGTACATCATCTTTGGAGAAATGTGTATTTAAATCCTTTGCCCATTTAATTGGATTATTTGTCTTTTCATTATACAGACATATTTTTATATTTATTATATATGTATATATTATATATTTGTTATATATAAATATACAAGGAATTCTTTATATTCTGATTAAAAGTTCCATTCAGATATGTGCTTTGCTTATATTTTCTCCCATTCTGTGAGTTGTCTTTTCACTTTCTTAATGGTGTCCTTTGAAGTAAAAAAGTTTTAATTGTGATGAAGTCCAATTTATCTATTTTTTCTTTAGTTTCTTGTACTTCTGTTGTCATATCTAAGAAAACATTGTTTAATACAAGTTCATAAAGGTTTACTCCATGTTTTGCCCTATTTTGTGAGTTGTAGGGGCCCAATTTCATTCCTTCACGTGTGAAATCTAGTTGTTCATGCACTATTTGTAACAAAGACCACTTTTTCCCTCTTGTCTTGACACCCTAGTCAAAAATGAGTTTCCTATAAATAAAGGGTTTATTTCTGGGTTTTCTGTTTCATTGATCTCTAGGTCTATCCTCATGGAAGTACTATACTATGTAGACTACTGTAGCTTCTTGTAGTGAGTTTTGAAACTGGGAAGGATGAGTTTTCCAACTTTGTTCTCTTTTTTAAAGGTTGTTTTGGCTGTTCTGAGTCCCTTGAATTTCTATATGAATTTTAGAATAAGCTTGTCAGTTTCTGCAAAGAAGCTAGCTGGGATTGTAATAGGGACTGTGTTGAATCTATGGTTCAGTTTGGGGATAATTGCCATATTAATATTGAGTCTTCCAGTTCATGAACATAGAATGTCTTTCCATTTATTTAAGTCTTTTTAAGTTTACTTCAACAGTCTGATATAGTTTCAGAGAGTACATCTGGCAGTTCTTTTGATAAATTCATCCCTAAGTCTTTCATTCTTTTTTATGCTGTTGTAAATAGAATCACTTTCTTAACTTACATTTTGGCTTGTTTATTGCAAGTGTATAGAAATACAATTGATTTTTGTATATTAATCTTATAATCTATAACCTTGAATTTGTTTATTAGTTCTCATTGGGGTTTCTGTATATGTATGAATTCCTTAGGATTTTCTTAAAGTCTATTTTGTCTGATATTAGTATAGACATTTCAGTACTGTTTTGTGTGGTATATTTTTTTCCATCCTTGTATTTTCAACCTTTTTGTGTATAATTTAAAGTTTGTCTCTTGTAGTAAGTTTGTAACTGGAACTTAAAAAAATCCATTACGCCAATCTAATGTCTACTGGAGTGTTTATTTCATGTACATTTAATATACTTACTGATAAAATAGGATTTGCATCTACCTTTTGATATTTGTTTTCTATATGTGTCTTTTTTGAGGGGGGAGTTGTTTTCCTCCACTATTGCCTTCTTTTGTTTTAAATAGATGTTTTCTTGTGTGCCATTTTAATTTCCTTGTTCTATTTACTATTTTTAATTAATTTATTTATTTTAATTGGAGGCTAATTACCTTACAACACTGCAGTGATTTTTGCCATACATTGACATGAATCAACCATGGGTGTACATGTGTCCCACATACTGAACACCCTTCCCACCTCCCTCCCTATCCCATCCCTCAGAGTTGTCCCAGTTCATCGGCTTTGAGTGCCCTGTTTCATGCATCAAACCTGGACTGGTGATCTATTTCACATATGGTAATATGCATGTTTCAATGTTATTCTCTCAAAATCATCCCACCCTTGCCTTCTCCCACAGAGTCCAAAAGTCTGTTCTTTATATCTGTGTCTCTTCTGCTGTCTCAGATATAGAGTCATCATTACCATCTTTCTAAATTCCACATATATGTGTTAATATACTGTATTGCTGTTTGTCTTTCTGACTTACTTCATTCTGTATAATAGGCTTCAGTTTCGTCCACCTCATTAGAACTGATTCAAATGTGTTCTTTTTAATAGCTGAGTAATATTCCATTGTGTATATGTACCACAGCTTTCTTACCCATTTGTCTGCCGATGGTCATCTAGGTTGCTTCCATGTCCAGCTATTGTAAACAGTGCTGCGATGAACATTGGGATACAAGTGTCTCTATCAATTCTGGTTTCCTCGGTGTGTATGCCCAGCAGTGGGATTGCTGGGTCATATGGCAGTTCCACCCAGTTTTTTAAGGAATGTCCACACTGATCTCCATAGTGGCTATACTAGTTTTCATTCCCACCAACAGTGTAAGAGGGTTCCCTTTTCTCTGCACCCTCTCCAGCATTTATTGTTTGTAGACTTTTTGGTAGCAGCCATTCTGACCAGTGTGAGATGGTACCTCATTGTGGTTTTGATTTGCATTTCTCTGATAATGAGTGATGTTGAGCATCGTTTCATGTGTTTGTTAGCCATCTGTATATCTTCTTTGGAGAAATGTCTGTTTAGTTCTTTGGTCCATTTTTTGATTGGGTCATTTATTTTTCTGGAATTGAGCTGCGTGAGCTGCTTGTATATTTTTGAGATTAATTCTTTGTCAGTTGCTGCATTTTCTATTATTTTCTCCCTTTCTGAAGGTTGTCTTTTCACTTTGCTTATTGTTTCCTTCATTGTGCAAAAGCTTTTAAGTTTAATTAGGTCCCATTTGTTTATTTTTGCTTTCATTTCCATTACTCTGGGAGGTGGGTCAGAGAGGATCCTGCTGTGATATATCCAGAGTGTTTTGCCTATGTTTTCCTCTAGGAGTTTTATAGTTTCTGGTCTTACATTTAGATCTTTAATCCATTTTGAGTTTATTTTTGTGTATGGTGTTAGAAAGTGTTCTAGTTTCATTCTTTTACACGTGGTTGACCAGTTTTCCCAGTGCCACTTGTTAAAGAGATTGTCTTTTCTCCATAGTATATTCTTGCCTCCTTTGTCAAAGATAAGGTGTCCATAGTTGCATGGATTTATCTCTGGGCTTTCTATTTTGTTCCATTGATCTATATTTCTGTCTTTGTGCCAGTATCATACTGTCTTGATGATTGTAGCTTTGTAGAATAATCTGAAGTCAGGCAGGTTGATTCCTCCAGTTCCATTCTTCTTTCTCAAGGTTGCTTTGGCTATTTGAGGTTTTTGTATTTCCATACAAATTATTAAATTATTTGTTCTAATTCTGTGGAAAATACCATTGGTAGCTTGATAGGGATTGCACTGAATCTGTAGATTGCTTTGGGTCATATACACATTTTCACTATACTGATCCTTCTGATCCATGAACATGGTATCTCCATCTATTTGTGTCCTCTTTGATTTCTTTCACCAGTGTTTTATAGTTTTCTATATATAGGTCTTTTGTTTCTTTATATAGATTTATTCCTAAGTATTTTATTCTTTTCATTGCAATGTTGAGTGGAATTGTTTCCTTAATTTCTCTGTTTTCTCATTGTAGTGTATAGGAATGCAAGGGATTTCTGTGTGTTAATTTTATATCCTGCAACTTTACTATATTCATTGATTAGCTCTAGTAATTTTCTGGTGGAATCTTTAGGGTAGAGGATCAGGTAGAGGATCATGTCATCTGCAAACAGAGTTTTACTTCTTTTCTAATCCTTTTATTTCTTTTTCTGCTCTGATTGCTATGGCTAAAACTTCCAAAACTATGTTGAATAGTACTGGTGAGAATGGGCACCCTTGTCTTGTTCCTGACTTTAGGGTAAATGCTTTCAATTTTTCACCATTGAGGATAATGTTTGCTGTGGATTTATCATATATGGCTCTTATTATGTTGAGGTTTGTTCCTTCTGTGCCTGCTTTCTGGTGTGTTTTATCATAAATGGATGTTGAATTTGTCAAAGGCTTTTTCTGCATCTACTGAGATAAGTATATGGTTTTTATCTTTCAGTTTGTTAATGTGGTGTATCACATTGATTGATTTGCAAATATTGAAGAATCCTTGCATCTCTGGGATAAAGCCCACTTGGTCATGATGTATGATCTTATAAATATGTTGTTGGATTCTGTTTGCTAGAATTTTGTTGAGGATTTTTGCAACTATGTTCATCACTGATATTGGCCTGAAGTTTTTTTTGTGTGTGTGTGTGGCATCTCTGTCTGGTTTTGGTATTAGGGTGATGGTGGCCTCATAGAATGAGTTTGACAGTTTACCTTCCTCTGCAATTTTCTGGAAGAGTTTGAGTAGAATAGCTGTTAGCTCTTCTCTAAATTTTTGGTAGAATTCACCTGTGAAACCATCTGGTCCTGGGCTTTTGTTTGTTGGAAGATTGTTGATTACAGTTTCGATTTCCTTGCTTGTGATGGGTCTGTTAAGATCTTCTGTTTCTTCCTGGTTCAGTCTGGGAAGGTTATGCTTTTTAAGAATTCGTCCATTTCTTCCAAGTTGTCCATTTTATTGTCATATAGTTGCTGATAGTAGTCTCTTATGATCCTTTGTATTTCTGTGTTGTCTGTTGTGATTTTCCAATTCCATTTCTAATTTTGTTGATTTGATTTTTCTCCCTTTTTTCCTCGATGAGTCTGGCTGAAAGTTTGTCTATTTATCTTCTCAAAGAACCAGCTTTTAGTTTTATTGATTTTTGCTAGTCTCCTTTGTTTCTCTTTCATTTATTTCTGCCCTAATTTGTATGATTTTTTTTCAGTCTACTAACCCTG